ACCGAAGTACAATTTTAATAGGCTCTTAAAATGGAAGCTGAGATACAAATGAAACCAGCAAAGAAATGTCTTAAGCTTGACGAAAATCCGATGCAATTCACGGTACAGAACCAAAATTTTAGTCGATAATTATACCGTGAAAAAACGAACGGGCTGTCACCAGGCGATGCTAGCTGCTGTAAACGCAAGTCAGAATAAAGTCACATGAAATTATCGAATGGATCCTATGTCCGAAATTCCCTAAGAAACCAATTAAACCGCCGTTAGCTGAGCTTAATTCTCCAGATATTATGGAAGCCATACAACCGCAAAATTAGCCGAAAAATGTTCCCAATGCCGGTTACAATAGCATTTGAAGGCGGAGCAAAATCCAGCTGAATAACGTCAAACCTCATAGAAATAGCGTTATAATGAAAATACCCAATCAGAAGCCAACCACACAACTTCCTGACATCATTCCGAATCCGAAACACCTCCAGATCTCTAGCTCAAGCAGATCGAGATGCAAATCTCAGCACGCACACAACTTTCTCAACAACCTGTCGGCACAGGACCACGTCCCGGTCTCTTGATCGAGCAGATCAAGTTGCAACCCCCGGCACACACAACTTCCCAACCGCATGCTGACGCAGGAACACATCCAGGCTCTTGGATCGAGCAGATCAACATGCAAATTTGCACCATTACCGAATAATACCTTACGGTAACAAAGGCACCGAATAACTCATGGTTACAGGTGTTTGTAACCCTTGCCGTGCGAAGAGGTCAACGCCCTCCGCACACCTTCCCAGTCCCGTTGTCTGTGTGTAATGGTTGTGTCCATTCCGTATCCGTAACTTTCAATTTCAACCATAACCTTAGGCTCGCGGTACTGTGAACATTAACCGACCCTCAGACCTCAGAAACTGTTTGTGCGTGTTTTGCACATACCGTCCTCAATCACTTTCACTAATGGCCGAGTCCAGACTGAAGGTGATTACAGTTCGGAGCCGGAAGCAATGACCATAAACAAAATAATAAACAAGGCGATTAAACAGGCATCTCCAGGTCTCTTAATCGAACTGATTAAGATCACATCCCGGACCAGAGCCACCAGTGTGAATTTATAAGTAGTGTTTGGGATGGGGACAAGGATAAGGATGACTGGGAGAAGGATGAGGATGTAGAGTGGGTAAAGGATGGGTGAAAGGATGGATTCAGGCCCGCCTACTGGCTGTTGTGGTAGCTTCTGCTAATATTCCTCGTGTGTCTAGGGGTATTCTAATCTGTGTCATCTGCACAATCCTACTCATCGTTGTCTAGGGGTATCGTCTTAACACTCAACAATCCTTTAGCCGTTGTCTAGGGGTATTCTGATCGACCAAAAACCATGTGTCCCACAAACCCGTTCGTGTCCGAATCATCATATTGCCAGCGTTTCCACAATCATTTCCAACCTCGAGAAAGAACGTAGAAGGTATACATATTAATTATGTATTGTAATTGAAAAGGCCGAAATAAATAAAAGCGAACAATTCAAACAAAAAGAGCCAGAAAACGAGCAATGTCACGGTAACCGTGCACTGCTAAAGTGAATATAGCCAAAGTGCCGAAACAAAAACCGAAACAATGACCAAGCCAAATCATAACACCGATTCGATATTGCCAAAGGGGTGGGACTGACTCATATAGTAGCCAAATAAGTCAAGCGGAAGAGCCGAAATGGAATGAGTCAAGTCCCAAAGACCGTGTCTCACAGTCACGACTCACAGTGACATGTAAACCAACCTGTCGCTCTTGTCACAGTTCCCAGTTCACAGTACCGCGGCCAAATCCTAAATTACTGTTACCTAGGCCAGTGTGTGTATATGTGCGTGTCTGTGCCTGAGACATATCTCCGACCACAGCCGAGTCTTGATCCGAAGTCAGGCTCAAACCCTCTCACTCCGCCGGCCAGCTAGCCAGGGGCGCGACTAGGGCAGTGCAAGAATTCAGTCAGAGACCTCCAACTGGGTTGAAGATAGGCCCCAGGTACTTACATTGTGAGAGAAGTGTCGAGACGTCAACCGCGAGCGGCGTCAGCACCACGAATGAGCGAGAGCTCCCAGGAGAATAGCTCACAAGTGAAAGGAAGTGAAGCCCCGAACTGCCGAACACACGCTTTTTATACGACTCGGTCACGGCCAACCTCGCCTCCTCCCCAGTCCTCCGTCGGGAGGAGGAGCTACACGGCACCGCCATCTTGTCGTCGACGAGTGGACCAGGGGCCGGGTAGCCTCAGGCTCTTAGCAGCCCAGCCCCGACGCAGTCCCCACCCCGGGCGCGCCTCGTGACGTCACACGCCCCACCGCTCGGGCCGGGCGGCACACTCCTGCCTCGGGCACCGTCGTCCGGCCGCCGTGTTCTCTTGGCCTTGGTTCGCGCTGTCTTCGGTGGTCGACTGGTCCAGAGGTGCAGCTCCGTCGTGCCGTGTCTATGCCTCCGGTGTTGCCGTCAGGCCGACGCAACCTTGGCCGCGCTCTCCGAGTCCGGGCGGCCCCGCTGCTCGGAGTGGCGATGTGAGGACGGCCGGTCACGAAGTTTTCCACACTATATACATAGGGAATGGAGAACAGATTAGTTCGCCGATCAACTACCACCTTCAGCCATGTTACGCTTTCGTAGATAACATGTCATTCATTCCAGTTATAGATATTCCTAAAACCGCTCGTAGAACTCGTTAAAAAGTCTATCTAATATCTAATCACTATCACACCGTTTTACCTATATATATTTACCAACGCCGTAAAGATTGACGACCTTTTACCTTTTGCCTTCACATTTCCACCAGGTCTTGCTAGACCCGATTGGCAACACTGCCCGGTATCCCGTCACTGTTACGTCTCCATCGCAAGATATGCACGATATGTCACCCCTGTCGCGCCTCCATCGCGACTCGCGAAAGGTTTACCAGTTACCACCTGTCCGTTGATACTGTCAACTGCTCTTTTATCACCTGACTGGATGTCATGGACGAAACTGACAGAAGTTGAGAGATGATTGCATTAGACGATGTTACCGTTGGAAGGTGGCGCTTAATCATTGCCACACCCGACGCCTGAGCTGATGCACCCAGCATATGTACATATGTAGATCCGGACTGGTCGTAATCGATGACGGACCACCATTGCACCGTCCATCTCCTTCCAGGGTGAAGAGCAAAACCTGAGCGCATCTCCGGCTGGTCGCCCATTGGTTCGAGCGTCACGGCTCGACTCCAACGTTCATTGCCTGCATGTCATTGCAGAATGCAGGGCTCCGTGCGCCTGTGCTAGTACTGTGAATAGGAGTAAAGTCACCCTTCCCCGATCCCCACGTCTCATAATTCTACCAAATTTATTGCAAGCTGCGGTACTTTTAGAAGTATGTAGGAATTAAGTCTAAAATCGCTCCAAAGATAACGTTAAATCATTATTTGTTCCACAAGGTTACGACAAACGCACTAAAAGCATTCATGGCGTCGCCGCGCTGGCACGCATACATAATAGCCTCATATTTAGGACACGGCGTCCTTCAGAGCAGAGCCTGCCGGGCGTCGGCTGTCCCGAGCCGCGCGCACCATAATGTATGCATGGGGAGGGAGGAGAGAGAGAGAGAGAGAGAGAGAGAGAGAGAGAGAGAGAGAGAGAGAGAGAGAGAGAGAGAGAGAGAGAGAGAGAGAAAGAAAGAAAGAGAGAGATAGAGAGAGAGAGAGAGAGAGAGAGAGAGAGAGAGAGGGGGGGAGGTAGGGAAAGACAGACAGAGACAGAACAGGCTCACCACTGGCGTCTGCTTGTCATTAAAAGTCAGCTGTCAGGTAGCCTTGCACCGTCTATCCCAGGCACCGTCTATCCGAGGAATTCGGAGTGCTCCGAAAGTTTCGCAGTCCAACGCAGCTGGAAACCAAATTTCTCACATTTGTATGTTTCTAAGATTGTTTTTGGAGATGAATTCGAATTTGGCAACCATTTGAACATTTACGACGAAGTAGTTTTGGTGCCTTCGTAACAAGTTACGAAGCTGTCAGAGGCGGTTGACACTTACTACGAATACCCGGCACGACCCCTACTGTTTGACCTGACCTGATGCTGCCTCGACCTGGCCTAAATGCATGAAGACATCATCTGTGATCAAAACTAACATGACATTCGTGATCAGCTTCCCGAAAAACCCCATAGCAGCCACTCTTGACGACTTTCTAACAGGTTCCGATTTTCCCGACTTTTGGTTCACTGACCTCAGACCTGACCTGGAAGGTCAACCAATGACCTATGACCCTAAAATTGGGTATCATAGGCTTCCTCTCGTCACGGGCAACACGCTCGTTTTTTTCGCAAACTTTAGCTCGATCAGGGGCTAAATGGCAAGGACGGGGTCCAACGGCCCCCTCCTTATACATTCGCGGCTGGAAAAACACCAATACAGGCAGAGGCGGATCCAGCTCAGTTTTTTTTTGGGGGGGGGGGGGCAAACCATAACAATTTATCGATTCTTTCCATGCCTCGTCCATAGGCGTAATGTTAAAATTATGCCGTTTGGGGGGGGGGGGCAAATGCCCATTTTGCCCCCCCCCCCCTGGATCCGCCACTGAATACGGGCGAGGGCTAACATTAACCCGGTTTACATAGGGTTTGTTGCAAGCTTATATCTCCGTCCGTGATGTTGCAAAAGATGCCAATGGTGCTGAACAATTTACAAAATGATCCCCTCTAAATATTTTAAGACCACTGCATCGAAATTATCGCCAAATTAACGAGCTAGAGCCTCGTCAAATATGCTAAGTAAACCGGGTTATTAGCCCTATGAGCGTTGCCTTGAAAGAATGCTGGGCCAAAAGTCGGCAGTGCCCCCCCCCCCCCCCCCCCAGTTGAAGGTGTTCCGCCGCTACTGCCGGTGTTTGTATTTGGAATGCTCTCTGGATTTGCCTGAATATTTTTCGTTGAACCATCGTCATTCGTCGCCACACGTCAACGGTCAACACCACCAAAAGTAAACAGACTCAATAAGGGTCGAATTCTATGTATTTGTCCGCTGCAGCGCATATGTGCGAAGACAAAAAAAAAAAAAACGCAGACAGGAACGCACGTCATATCACAGGCAGCCTCGCCAACACCGCCGAGAAACATTCGGTATCGGTGTCTGACGGCCGTGACGTCATCGGTCCCGGGACAAATGACGTCATTGGTTCACTAGCGACGTGTCTCGGCGGATGGTAGCAAAAGTCAGCGCCGAGACACTTGGTTTGATAACTCGGAGACTACGACGCAAGTACGCATACGAGATAGAGATGTCCTGGATACCAACTTTTTGGTGCACTGATACCGAACCGATAATACCGTAGTATATGGTATCATAGGCGGCGGAACGGGGAGGGCACCGGGGCACCGTTCCCCCTTTGATGTTGGCATTTTAACATTAGCCCTATGGGCGTTGCATGAAAAGAATGGAACCAAAAGTCGGCAGTGCCCCCCCCCCCCCTTTAATTGAAGGTGTTCCGCCGCTACTGTATGGTATTTCAATTCTACTGTGCTTGGCATTTTGTTGTTATTCTGAATCCTCACTGATGTATGGAAGGCTGTTAATTCAGTCAACACGAAGTTGGTAATCCTCTCAATTTCCTAACTTAGCTCGATTTTTTTTTTTGGCATTTTCCTTATCGACATCATCGACCATATCGACATTACTTTACGAGCACACCTATCACTCGGCTATGAAGCTATTTGTGGATCTATATATTGAACAACGGTTGATGACAGCCCTAGGTGTCAAACAACAGGGACCTCTACCACTGCCGAGTTAAGGATCATTCTTATGCTTATTTTCTTTCAAGTAATCGTAATATTCGTGGAGTAACATGCAGATGCAAACCGATGCTCCGGACCAACTTAACTTAAAATGCCCAGTTTTCTACACATGGTGAAAAATAAATCAATACTAACAAAATAAGCAACCAATTTGAATTCAATGACGTAAACACGGAGCCCAAAGCAAGTTAAGCCGACTGCCGGGAAATCTTTCTATTATTATTCCCCTAGTAAATGCTCCTATAGATGTAAGCGATTCACAACGCAGTCTGTTTGGAATCTACATACCGCATTGTTTCGTAATGCGCTTACAACTGAGCCACTCAGCTACACAGAAACTGGCGAATTTCGAATTTAATTAGAGCAGTGGCTGCTTTTCATTCATGTCTGCAAGCATAAAACAATATGATCGATGTTCTTCAAGGATTTACAGCAATTGGGCTTTTAGCGAAGCTATTGTAAATCAACCCTGCGATTTTTACATCGGGAAGCAGGACGTTAGCCTCACAAGTTCAATTACACTAATCAGCGCAAGGCTAACGAGCGCATTTCACAAAACATGGCACGACAAGGCTGCAATCAATTTAAATCACTTTAATTTTTCAGTTAAATTTACGCTGGTGAAGGGTTGCGAACTATGTGATTTGTGAGGCGATCGGTGGTGCTACACAACGATTGAACACCTGAATTCGTAATCGTTCACGAAACTACACAATTCGTTAATAAGATCATTTATCTAAAATAAAAAGTCCTTTAGATTTTAGAGATTAGAGCTGCAGATAATTTCCGCAGGATTCGAATCGTTTGATGATTATCATAAATTGATCAAAAGCAGAAAATCTAGTCAGTCTGAGCATTTTTAAGAAATCGGACGAAGGTTTTGGCCCAGTGTCCCAAGCCCGCCAGTGGCAGCAGCTTATCTGTGACGCTGCATCAGCAATTTAGAACAAAACTAAGGCGGAACCTACATAATCGCTACCCATTCCCACCGACGTAAACAGCGTTGCCTGATCTCTTCTTTTACCAAATCACACCAAAACCTTATCTATTGTCGCGAAAAATTCCTAGAATTCTCGCACGACCCCCTAACCCCTCGGTAACTACCTGCTTTACCTCACGAGTCACAACACTCATTTCTGCATCACAACTCGCACGTGAACTCCCTAGCCCTGACTCTCTCCCTAGAGGGGAAACAACCTAAGTCACTAGTCCAGCATATCGTCAGTGGAGAGGAGGCCCCCGGTGTGGGACTTGGACTCCTTCATCTTGGAGATGGCCCGGTCAAAGTCGGCCTGGGTGATAGGTCGCAGCTGGGCAGTGGGAGGTCGGCTCAGCTCTCTGGTTACCGAACTCGGGCCGTCAGGGACCGGACCGGCGCCCGCGAGTCTGAAACGGGCCGGGGGGGGGGGGGCAGTTAGAGTGATTATGTGGGAGAAAAGATGTGGCCTACCAGAGTGAGATGCAGAAAAAAGTTAGTCTACCGGGGTGAAAAGAGCAAAGTGTTTACTGCTGTATGCTTAGTCTAGCAAAATGAGCTTTATGGGGAGACCACTAGCATGACAAAGTGAAATATTGCAGAGAGCGTTAATTTGAAATCTTACCGAGGGAGTGGTCAGACAAAAAAGGTATAAGAGTGAAGATTTCGGAGTGAAACTTCAGACACAAAGACTGAACAAGCTGCAATGGAAGATAGAGGAATCATCATGGTGTCCGACAGATGGAAACACGCCAAAAGAAAACGCATTAAGAAAGCTTTCTGCCAGTTGGAGTAAAGACACTGAATCATTTCACGGTGAAAAATCAGCGACAACTTGTGATTATTTCGACGGCAGTACTGCAGCTTGCATGAGACACTATGTCATGACAACTTTTAAAACATTCCATTTCCTACACCCCACACATGCCTTCCCTATACGTTCGTTTTTACACACGCACTATCCTCACACCCCCGGGTAGCGTTCCGTGGCGCCCCTGTCGTGCCATCTTACCCGCCGAACACGGTCGCTGTTGGGGACGTCATGTAGTCCCTGACCGGGTAGATGGCGGCCGTTCGACACAGCTCGCGCAGGTCCGAACCTGCGCGAGCAAACGGGCAGTGTCAGAAATGAGGGAGAATACGGATACAACAGCACTAGACACAGAAGTAGGAGTCACAAGTAACAGCGAATATACATTATGTACCTGGCAAATCACATCAAAGTTTTGAAAACAAAAGATAATATCAGTCAAAATATGATAGGAAAGAGAGTGCTTTGTAAAGGAATCATCAGAAACGAGGGCGACATAGATACAATCATCTTTGCTAGACGGCATCAGGACGTGAGCAAATTCACTGAGATTCACGAATTCGAGGAATCCTCAACGACATACTAATGGTCAGGGTTTACGATCGATCCCATTTTTAACGTCATTTGATATGATTTTCGACACAGATATAACCTTAAACCGAGCGAAGCCATTGCACAATGCACATGCCACGACGACTCTACGGACACCCTTACCTGTGAACCCGTCTGTCAGCTTGGCCAGCCGGTTGAAGTCAATATCGTCCGAGGCCGACTCGCCCCGCATCACCAGGTGAAGGATCGACTTCCGCTGAGGCAGCGTCTGAAACGAAACACGCCGGGGTCGTACTAGGATACATATATGCATGTAAGGGTACCCAATGGATGGCTACACCGTTCCGTGCTTCTATCCTCAGGATACTGAAATCCTTCTCCTCCACGCCGCAACCCCCTCCGGGCTGGACAGGCAACTTTATCTCAAGCGGGCTGCTCCCTTGGAGCGGCACCGCTGCTACCGAGGGAGCGCACCCCGTAGCCGGGTGCAGTGAGTGCCTTGGGGCTGGGTGGCCTGTCCTCTGGACGGGCTCAGCCCCGGCGACTCACTAGGGTGCCTGCCCAGACCAATGTCTCCCCCTATATCCTATCATCCTCCCGGCTCTGAAATGGTCTTATTGGACCGAAAGGGCCTAACCCAAAAAAAAAAAAAAAAACAAGCAATGGATGGCTGATGTATGGTGAGTGTTCTCCCCCCTACCTGCATACTCGTTACCTACGACTCGGATCTAAGCCGTAATCGCCACGCTATATGTGAATTCTTTTGATGTTAATACATGCATACATACACACATAGGTACATACATGTCACAAGGGGTATGTACACAAAGATACATGCAAAGTATACCTATCAAGCATCACGAAATAATCTAGCTATCGTCAGATTATTTCGTTCATCTTGACAAGTCAAGGTAACAAACAAAACACATTGTCGAGAATCGAGAGCTGACAAATTGACGTCTGGTTATCGAATTCCTTCTCTCGAACACTTATTATGCATCATAACAAGCTTCACTCGATAGTTCAGACGGATTCATGACTTCGCAGTTTTCATCAATCTTGGAAGCGACCCAAATTGCAAATAAAAAAACTGTTACCTGCCATCGATATCGGTTTTTAACAAAGGCTTCTTTAGATAACTTTAGAGATTACATCCCAAACCAAAAAACCTCTGATTACAACCTCATTTACCTAAATCAAAACGTCCACACACCCTTTTCCTGCCATATTCCCACCTCTCCCCACCTACCGGTTTGCCGATGTGGAATGCCGCGGGCATCCGGCGCAGAATGGCCTTGTCGACGTCCTGGGGCCGGTTGGTGGCGCCCATGACGAGCACGCAGCGCTCAGAGTCTGAGATCAGGCCGTCCCACAACGACATGAACATGGCCTTCATCATCGCTGTAGCCTCGTGGTCGTGTGTGGCGCGCGCGCGCAGGAACGAGTCTGAGGGGTACCAGGGGGCGGGTAAATAATGGAAAGACAAACGGAAGGAGATGCTTTAGATCAGAATGAGTAAGATCGTAGGAGCCTGCTGATTAAAAAAAAAATCGTTTAAGCTATTAGCTACAAGTAAAATAATCTTTGTTCCACTTCAACATCCAATGACGAGAAAGAAACCAATTCCAACAAAATTTCACTCACCAAAAAAAGAGCGACTTTTAACCATTAACTCATAACCATCTAGGTACTCAAATTACACATCAATCATTTCAGTGGGGTAGAGACAACTAAAGACAGTTGTTGTTTCCCGACTCTGGCGTTGAAACTGACCGATTTCATCGATGAATATGATGCAGGGCTCCAGTTTCACGGCCAACGAGAAGACGGCGGCGCAGAGTTTCTGCGACTCGCCGTACCATTTGTCCGTCAGACTGCTGATCTCAAGGTTGATGAACCTGCCACAGACCATGACACGGTACTGAGAGACCATGAGAGACCACACCATGTCACACCGGCGAAGACTAACCCCGCGTTCGATGTCTCTCTGACGACGAAGATTCTACGTAGTCCGGCCAATCCCGTTCTAGGTCAGCGGGGGCTCGGCTGCGGTTGTGGAACGTGATTGGCCGGACGGCGTAGAATCTTCGTCGTCCGAGACACATCGAACGCGGGGTATGTTACTGTGTCGGTGAAAGACTATGCAGTGAGTAAGTGAATCCATGAACGAAACGTCAGGCCGTCTTTAGATTAATCGTAGTTAGCCGATAAGCGTAATATTGAGGCCATTTAATTACGCACACCAAGAAGGTGAGGGAAAGAAGCGTTGTAATAAACAGTCTTTTTATCTTTTCTCACTTTTGGGTGAAATCTATAGCACTCAAAGTCAAGTTCAGACTTTCATTCATATGTGTCAACTCTAGGATCGGAAGAATGAACGATGTCACAATTGCCACACAAATCTCTCTAAACGTTGCATGGACAGACTGCCTTTGAGACAATGATGCATGGCAGGCTGAAAGCGACAGCTTCCTGTGACAGAAGAACGATTTATTTGAAACAATCTTAGGAGCACGTCAGGATTGATGAATTGAGCTATTGCATCCCATCGGGAATGGAAGATGTGATTAGGCTGCACTCCAAGCTATGCCGGTCAACGACAAATCAGGGGATCTGGAGCTAGCCTAGCACGACAAAAGGAAAACGGTACTAAGTTCAAACACAAAAAATAATCCCCCTTCAATTCGCTCACACACGGTCTGTTTCTCTGTATTCTTTCATTCCCGATCTTGTAAAAAGCCATACAGTGGACTATGGCTGAGGCTCTGTTCCTCCATTCCATCCCAATCCCAATCCAGAATAGAATTCCTTACCGAGTGCAGGCCTCGCGGGCGGTAGCTTTAGCGAGCAGTGTTTTCCCGCAGCCGGGCGGTCCGTGCAGCAGGACACCCTTTGGCGGCTGAATCAGCTGACTGCCGCGGAACAGGTGTCTGTTCTGGATCGGCAGGATCACCGTCTCCTTCAGCTCCTGGATCACGCTGTCCAGTCTGGAGCGAGGGGGGGAGATAGGGGTGGTCAGAGCTCAGTACCGGGGGCCGACAATATTTTTTTTTTGGGGGGGGGGGCGGGGTAGGGGAGCCGGAGGAGATAAAATAGAGGACTGTTTCGCCTGAAAGCGTTCAGTTATTTTTGCAAAGCATGTATGCAACTGAAATCTGATCTATTGATCTCGGAATCCCCAGCATGCAATGCTAAGGAAGGCACTGACATCACAAACTGAACACATTAATTGCCAAATATATTAGGTACTTATTCCCTGAAGTGTATCCAGCTGATTACAGGGATTTCAACGAACGAGCTTGGAGTAGAACCAGGGACATTGTCGTACCGGGCGAACATCCGAAAGGTGCCGCTGTCTAAGCAACAGACATGAGCAATAGCATGTATGGGTGCGTGTGTGGGAATTATGCGTGCTGCACACTGTTCCTCGTTTTGTATCACACTATCATGACGTGGACATGTGAAAAGCCTCACTATTGAGAGGACCTTGTCTGAATATATCTGTAATCTAATCTGTAATTCAATCAGGCACCGACAATCATCCCCACAACCTCTGACCTCCGTCACCCTGGCTGCTGCCGTGGGCACCTCTCACCCGGCGATGCTGTCCCAGGAGACCTGGATGGACACCGGCTCCACCAGCTGACAGGCGATCGACATCTCATAATCCGTCAGATGGACGTTCTTGTCAATACCCAGACGAGTCATCAGACGTTCAGCCTAGCAAAAATCAAACACTTGTCACTCATCTGGCTATGCTGACATGGATCATGGTAAGTTCAAAAATGTCTATTGAAACAGAAAAGGCATGATCATTATCCATTAATCATCATCCCTTAACTGTACCCAATTCACAAAAGTTCAAATTACCCTCTTCTTATCCTCCTGTCGTCTTTTCCGAGTTGGGTCCATCATGTCCACAGCCCATTTTACACCCAGGTAGGTGATGGCTGATGCGACAGCTGTCCGCAGCAAGAGACTAAGCAGCTCTGAGCGGTCAAATGCTCTGTCCGGCATGGTTTCTGTGAAAGACGAGGCTCTGACATGCAAATCAGAGCGAGGGGCCTCAGTCTAGGTGTACCAAAATCAGTCGGGGAAACTATGGTAAAATCTGCTATTTTTAGCAGTCTGCTATTTTTAGCAGAAATCTGCTAAAAATGGGTACGCATGTGACGTCATCGTACCCAAATATAGCAGATTTGGGTACGGCCCCATACAAAAGCAGATCTGCACCCTAATTGAAGCAAATGCGCATCAAATGCCTGGCAGATTCATGATAAGAATAGTGCTGAGAATGTCCTCTGATATTTTTGTTCAGATCCGACTATTTTCAAATAATGAATTTGAAAATAGTCAGATCTGAACAAAAATAGCAGAGATCACTCTCAGCACTATTCTCACCATGAATCTGCCAGGCATTTGATGCGCATTTGCTTCAATTAGGGTGCAGATCTGCTTTTGTATGGGGCCGTACCCAAATCTGCTATATTTGGGTACGATGACGTCACATGCGTACCCATTTTTAGCAGATTTCTGCTAAAAATAGCAGACTGCTAAAAATAGCAGATTTTACCATAGTTTCCCCGACTGAAATAGGATATCAGTTAATGAGCATCATACACATTCCAGTTTTTAAATCTTAAAATTATTTGGTGATTTTGAAGTTGTGCACTTAACAAATCTAAAAGCTATATGACATTCAAGCTAACTCTGGAGTCACTTTTAAGTTTTAAGTTAGCTATACCAATACCCCTTTTTCACTGCTGAAAGGACCGAGGGTTGGGGAAAGTTAGAAGGCTAAGGTACCTACCCTTGGAATATGCGGAATTATTGAAATCCAACAGACAGGCAAAAAAAAAAACTAGAAAATAGCAATCAGCAACACCTCGAATCAATAATCTCAACTTTCTTGGCTACTTCAACTCTGACCCAAAGTTCTCTATATGTATACCGTGCTTTGACCGAGGGCAACGAGGGGAATCACCACAGATGATGATTGTCTTTGCTGCGCCATTACTGTAAAGGAAGAGATAGAAAGTGTTTCACCGGAGTTGTGCACCTCAACATTTTTATTTTATACGATAAATTTACATGCAAAATCTTCAGTTACTGTCTTATATAGACATAAATACATTTGAATAGGTTATTTTGAAGGGAAAAAAAATCAATTACAGACTCTATCATGCATGAAAATACACTTGATTTGTGCTATTGGAAATAGTGCTGGTGAAAACTTAACGACTGTAGTTGATAAAGCTCATGAGCAGTTTGTAAACGTCCTCAGTCGACTGAAATTCACGAGTGTGGTTCGTCATGTCTCCACCCGAGCTGTCGTAAGTCCACGTGGCTGCATGCTAATTAATTGGTTTCTTACCTTTTTGGGTTATATTTATTAAACCTCTGTGGTAAATAAAGCATGTCCACATAGCTTTAACATATAGCAGAGTTTCGAAGTAGATTGTAGGCCGCTGAAAAGTGAAAACATATCACCAATCTAAGGCCCACAAATAGTAGAACTATATGAATTAACTTGCAAACCTGGAAAGGATGCTGACATTTTATTTTTGTTTCAGTGATGGAATCCTCTTTGGGATGGGCAACCCACTGCTGGACATATCAGCCCACGGCGACCAGGAGTTCCTTGACAAATATGGTATGACTATGTATTGCTAATTGAACACCTTAAATCTTGAATCATTCAGCTGCTTTTGTGTGACCATATTTGGTAGTAAACAAAAAAATATTAAAAGGAGTTGTGGATGAAAATTTCTGTGAAAAGGTATTTAATTACTGCATGAATGCATACTGGAAGACATTCTCACTCGAAGGTTTGCAAACCTTTTGATCACTCGAGGGTTTTTCAGTCACTTGCTCATGCAAGATTATTGTAAGGTTTACCCAGAATTTTCTGCAGTTTAGGTCAGGGCATGCACTACAAGCTTACTAAGTACAGACTGACTTCATCAGTCTGTCCACCCAACAAATGTTTGAATTTATACTGAAGAAGTGAAGTTGCCCACTCAGAGACATCTCACTCATATGATCGATCCCCTTTCCTCACTAGGAATGAAGCCTGATGATGCCATCCTGGCCGACGATAAACACATGCCCATGTACGACGAGATGGTCGAGAAGTACAAGGTGAACTACGTTGCCGGCGGGGCGACCCAGAACACCCTGCGTACAGCTCAGTGGCTCCTGGACCGGCCCAACACCAGCACCTTCTTCGGCTGTGTGGGAAGGGATGCCACCAGCGAGACCCTCAGTGCCACCGCGCGGAAGGCGGGCGTCAACGTGGTCTACCAGTACAACGACTCGACACCCACAGGTAAGCAGCGCGCTGGTGTGTTTACGATCCTCGATGATAGAGCGTGATGCCTTATAATCACCGAAGAATTTCGAGAGAGCGTGATGCTTTATAATCACCGAAGAATTTCGAGCTCGTCGATATCGAAAATGATTTCCTGCCGTTTTGTTATTCTGAATGCTGAACATATCGAAAATGATTTCCCGTCGTTTTGTTATTCTGAATGCTGAACTGAGATAGGTTTATCTGAAAGGGTGAGTGGTTGGCCACGGGCCCGGGTGCCCCGCTAAGCAGTGCCTGTTGCGAATGACACCACGGACCCACCACCCAGTCCCGCCCGCGCCCGATTCACCGCTGATTTTCATCAAAAGTTGGGCGTATGGCGGGTAAATTAGGTACGATAATTGTCTTTCAGGCTTTAGCGCGATAGCTGCATTCCCAGCGATACCTACCTACAAAACCTATTGATAATTTGATTGAAAATGATCTGCATTACCTCTTACAGGAATTTACACCATGTTCCTCGATAAAATTTCAACTTGCGTGCGGTAGTCAGAGGGGTTTGACGCGACGGACCGATCATGCTATAATTATAGCTATACCTATCGGATAAAAAAGGTTTCTGCGTCCTTGGCCCTGTGAATAAAGGTTGGCTGAATCTATTCTGGCCTTAATCATGTGTCTCATGACCTGGTATAACATGCCGTAAATATCTCATCTTGGCCCTTGAGTTTGTCGGAATCGTTCGAGAAAGAGCGAGATGTTATCTCATCCAACGTAAATGTTACCGCTGTTTGTGGCGATTCGAGCGTAGGCTCGATACGGTGATTTATCGTTTGATACGTCGCCGGCCGACCGTGACTTGGCAATAATAGATTCTTTCTTTTCTAATTAAATGACAGCTCGTTTCATCATTGAAAGTGGTTTTGTTTATGACACAGACATCATCATCATCGAAGCACTTCAGTTATGCTGAGCGACATAGCTTTAATGTCGCTATGTTTAGCGACACTGAATTTAGCTGGCTATCGCCGATGTCGGTAATCCATTGTGGCTCGTCTTATTGGGGCGTCCTATCGTGAGGTATTGTCGATAATCTCGTTCCTATTTGTATCTTAAACAGTTCGCTGTTCGCATTGTGTCCTACTAGACTAGCAGTTACATGGTGTTTGCAAGGGGGCAATTGAACAATGTTGCATGCTACTTCGCCACCTTGGAATGCACGCTGGAGCCAGATAATTCTAGCTACAGGGTGTCCAGAAAAAAAAGATACTACGGAAATTAAGTCGCATTTATTAACGCACGTGCCGATTTTGTTCCAAATTCATGTGCTTATAGTGCAAGATTTGGCAAAACTCATGAGCACTGTAATGCGTCGTTGGAAAGTTGTCTGTCTGCCCTCCGAGAGGGTCAACATGACCATCAGTCACCTGCCGACCGTGCTAGTGCTGGAGCTGATCCGCCGGAAGGCCGCTCACATTGAGTATCTGCTTTGAGGAGCTGCCGCGACTAACCAAAGGGTTTACATGCCATGTGGCACCTGCTGTCTGTTTTGCCATATTTTTGCGAATACAAGCATGTGCCATTTTAAAATGTGCGGTGTTTATTTTCGGAATTACAGCAAAAAATAATAGTATCCGTTTTTTCTGGACACCCTGTAGGAGCGCTTACTCAACATTGTTTTGCGTTTTCCGACATATTTCCGTTCCTCTCGTGCGATCGGGGCCCCGAGTCGGCCTATCTGTGACAGTCCCGCCCGGGGCTGTCAAGTGGCTGTGATAGACAGGACACATAAGCTCACACAGACAGACAGAGAAAACGCGGTATTAGATGACACAGTGGGCGTGGGATTTTACTCGGTGGGTTGGGAAAAGACGAGGATATTTCGTCGAGGTTGGTAATAGTGAAGTTATGAAGGTATGATAATGGAAGGAATATGGAGACCAAAACGACATAAATGCATACACAAAGCCAACGAATAGGTCTGATTTGAAAAGGACGAGAGATAAATAAGTTATGTAATAGGTAGATGGAGGTTTAGAGTTGATTGGACTTTCGTTTCATTAACTACAAAACCACAGTTTGCTAGGTGTTGAGTATGTGTTCATTCATTATGTAATTCATCTCAACTCGAGTGCATCAAGCTTGCCAAGCCATGACTCTCCATTCTCGAGGACGTACCCAAGTGCAGTGTATTTGTCGTCGCACGCCCGCTATGCGCTGGGTAGTGTCTGGTTTTCGTCGGAGACACATGTGCCGCTAGTCTAAACAATTCGATTTTAATATGGCTAGCCGGGGGCTGGCGTATGGTCTTTTCCTCGGCGAGCTAGCAAGGACTTTACTCAAGCAAGGCCCCAAAAACATGCTAAAGTAGGAACTACCCTCGCAAATTTATTGGGTGCTCGACTCGGCACCCCTTCTGGCTTCTCGATTTATGAATTGTGGTCTGTGGACTTTTGATAAATTGGATCAGCTCCCTCGCTAGTCGCTTATGCTTTATCTTATCATTCCCAACGATGGAAATATATTTCGTCGAGCTCATTTCCTTAAATTTATTAAGCTTACTTTCTGAGAAAGCCTCGTATTCCGTCCGTATATTCCGGTACCTCATTTTGCGTCGCCGCGTCCCTAATGACCCCGCCTCTTCCTACGTTATTGGGGCCGGAGCGGGCCAGTGGCGTACTACCCAGGGTGTGACAAGTTCGTTTGAACCCTCTGACATTGGCAGCCTCGGGAGAGAGGACACCGAGGCTCTTCCTCCATGCTTTAGAACGTCGTGAACGCACCGCTGTATATGTGTGTGTCGGAGGGTGTGTCTGAGCCTGTATAAATACACCCAGAGGCGTACCCAGGGCTGTGCCATAGTCCCTGACTTTTCCCGATGGCCTTGCCGCCAGGTCTACGTCATTGGGTGGGCGTAACTCAATGGTAACTGGATTGAGCCAGTTAATACTAGATGGATCCGGACTGAACTGATGATATCCGGATATAGCTTGTTTAGTGGGACTAATTCATTGAACGTGCAGCATTTAGATTGATCTTTATAGGAGTAATGGAATCGTAATGAACGTGTAGAATCGTTATTAACGTTTAAAGGGTAGATGTATCGTTTTCATTCTGTTGCCTGCGTTTTGAGTGGGTTGCATGTAAATTGCATCGAAAATGATCATGTTTTTCTTTCATTCTTGTCCATGCATTTTCACGTGAAAGCATTGACTTCGCAGCATATTTCGAGTTCAACTCAAGTCATAAGCAATGTAGTGCCCTGCTCAGACGGTTAGCCATTTGCTGCGTAAGCATCACCCCTTTTTCTCCCGCCGATTACAGGGGATGCATAGATAGGCGCCTCATACTGCCAGTAATTTATCAACGATGACCTTACTGCTGCTGATACGTCACCGGATTTCATCATTCCGATGGTTGAACGAGTTAACACGGGTGATAGAGAGGAAGTTGCCAACTGATAATGTCCTGCCTATAAATGCTGTCCGTTTTAGAACAATCAAACCTAGGGCTATCACATTTGGTTGGTGTTAAAACTTAAAACTGTTTTTCTTTATTTAAAACTTTGAAACAGTGTTGCAGCTATGCTGAGTTTCGACTCGTGCGAAGTGTTATGCAAACGGCAATGAAAGACCCTCAAATATAACTTATCATGGCCAAAGATATACATGGCACAT